AGGATGGGTACGGAAAATGGAGGGCATCACGGACGCAAAGATCTCCAAACAATTTCCCAAACCTGAACAAACCAGGTAAACCTCCTCAGAGCATTTCCACAAACCAGACCAAACCAGGCAAAGCCCCGAACAGGCTACATCAGGATCGACCCTCACAGAGAAAAGGACAAAAGAACACCCACATTCAGAAGAATCAACACTGATTTTTTTTTTCCATTTTTAAAATTTTTAGTATGTTACCTTTTTGCCTTTCCCAATGTTGAGAGCCCAATCTGCCGAGTCCCAGTACGACCTCTCTTCCTGAGAAAAAGACGACAAGCGCAGAAACAACAGACGCCATCCGTTAAAATTGGAACGATACAGAGGAGTAAGATTAGCATCGCCCCTGCCGCAAGGGGATGACACGCATAAATCGAGAACGGGTCCAAATTTGGAAAAAAAAAAAAAAAAAAAAGTCACCAGCCTTGTTGACTAAAAAAAAATAGAACGCATACAGGCTTTATCCCTCCATGGCCACTACTCAGCCCACCACACGTCTGTGATCCCTGGATTTGCTCCACGCAACAACCACCGGCGAACTAACGTCAAAACAATCCCCAGAGAACTCATCATGATCACAACCATAATCACTATCATCATCATCATCATCATCATCCTCATCATCATCATCATCGTCATCCATCATCCATCATCATCATCATCACCATCACCATCATATTCCAATATTGCAATGGCGACTGGTAGTGAGCAACCCCACACCACTCCCATGCCCCAATCTCAGTTGGGATACCAAAGGCAAGCAGGTGTGAAAAGAAGAAGAGATACCAATGGGTCTAGCTCAGTCGGTATACCCATGACCTGTTGAAACGCAGACCCAAGTTCGAATCCAGATGCTGATATGCTATCAGACGAACAAAAAGACGAAGAGGACTTCGGAACAACTTTTTTCTGTTGTCAGTAGCCTGCTGCTTCTGACATCGGGGCATATGGCACTTGCCTCTTCAACAAACATCCCGTCATCATCGTTATCATCGCTTTGCCCTTTTCTCTTTTGAATAGCTAATGTGTTTTCCTCCGAATAGAACCTACCGTAATTATACCTGGCTGCATTTGGGGCGTTGGGCCAACGCCCAGCACAGGTACAGCGATAAACACCGTACGTTCTACTCGGGTTAAGAGTCTTAAGACCATAGTGGCCACATCACTCCCCCCATTCAGGTAAGCGAGAAGCTCAGGAGGACTCTGTAATGCCCCCCCTTTTATTTGTCAGCAATTGCTTCTTTTCCATGGGGAAGATGTCACTGCCCTTCAGCAACATCCCAGAGACAGATGCTCTGATCATGCCATTACACCGTGAACAACAAACCCTTTTTTTCCTTTTTTTTTCTTTTTTTTTTCTTTTTTTTTTTTTTCTTTTTTTTAGGCCCACGGATATCACATCTACACTGCTTGTTGGATGTAGTTTAGCTCCAGTGTCAACAAGTTTATAGCACACACACACGGCACCACTAACACGGTAAGGGGCGTTGTTTAAAAAAAAAAAAAAAAAAAAAAAAAAAAAAAAAAAGATTACACACACACACACACACAAATGGCTGAGTGGGTGTGGAGAGAGTGTTTTATGGTTGTGTCAGACTGGTAGTTTCTAAGACCTACTGCCATTTCCGTCACGGGTTTGGAATCTGGACCAACCATCTGCTAGGATTACAGGGGGTTGGCGTGAGTAAAGTCTACCATTTTCTCTCTCAGGGGTATACCTTTCTCTAGGCGACGTGGCGAGTCCTTATCCATCAGTCAAATGCATCCTGGACAGACTGTCTGTCCAGGTTCAACCTCCTGATGAGCCGGTGAAAGTCCAACGAAACAATCTGGCACAGTCATGCTTTTTCTTTGCCGAGTTGTGTTCAGCCAAATTGACAACACGCACACAAAAGATAAACCTTCAAAAAAAGAAAAAACAGGTGCTTATGGTCCTAGCCTAGGCTACCAGCCGGGCCGCCCGGGTCACCCTATTTTCCCGGGCGGCCCGGGCCGTGCAAGGACTAGGGAAGGTCCCAGCCAAAAAAAAAAAAAAAAAAAAAAAAAGTCCAAAAAATCCGAAAAAAACTATGTTATGCAGAAAAATAAACTGAACAACTTTTGCCTCAGGGTCACATCGAAATTCTTTACCAAATTTAAAATAAAAATTTAATTTAAAAATATATATATATTTTTTTTTTCTTTGGCCCGGCCGGGCAAGTGGACCCGGGCCACTCTGGTAGCCTAAGTCCTAGCTCAATTTCCATTATGGGGAGCATCAGTCTAAAAGATGACTTCTAGATGCAGCTATACCATCCATATGGTCTGTTGAGATGACGACGGTACCACAGGACAGCACAAGAGACCAGCCCCTCTATTGCATGCTGCATGCCATGAGAGGAGAGACTCATGAGTCATGACTTCTGCCTTGCACACCCCCACCAATAGCAGGCAGTGCTAGGCACAATACCAGTAATCACATAAAGCTTTTTTTTTTAAGTTCTTTTTTTTCCCCGAATCCCCAGCAAAAAGAAAAAGCAGCAAAAAGCAGCAAAAAGCAGCTACAGGGGACCAATAAACTAAGTAAAGTGAATTCCTATATGCTGCAAAATTACAACTCTAATCATTCACACTGAATCACACCTATTTTTTTTTTGTTTTTTTTTGTTTTGTTTTTTTTCCTTTCAAAAACCAGATTCACACCTTCTGCATCAATGGAGACTTCTTGGGAAGCAACCCGTACTTCTTTTTTAGCATCTCCTCCTGAAAAATGCACAAATCACAAAAAGCGCACAATTCACCAAAAAAAAGCACCACAGAGTTCAAGCCAGCAAGCAAAAAAAAAAATTAAAAAAATATTTTAAAATGAGAATTCTACATACACTGGCCATAGTTGATGCTGGCAACAAACACGATAATGGTCATTACCCCCCATAATGGGCACAACATCCTGTTGGTATCGTTAAAGGTTAACAATTCCTGAGGTCTGTGCTGGCCGACCTTAAAACTGCTGGTTGGCCCCCGGTTGTCAGGAGAGCTGTAGTGACAGATGTGTGTGTGTGTGTGCGTGTGTGTGTGTGTGTGTGTGTGTGAGAGAGAGAGAGAGAGAGAGAGAGAGAGAGAGGCAGAGCGGTACAAGTTAGAGAGAAGAGCAAGACCGAGTGACAGAGAGAAACAGAGGGAGCAGGGCAATGGCTGACGCTGAGTGTGTGAGCAGCAGAGCCGCCTGTGACATAAACAATTTCGTATAATATAATGATAATTTGGTGATGGATTCCTCGTGCGTTAATCGTATCCCAGCTTTGGTTTCTCACGTGTGAACTCTCATGTGTATGATCATTGCATGTTTGCGAGGTAGAGTCCTGCGAGAGCTTGGATCATTTCACAGGATTTAAAAATTTTAATTCATTTACAATTTTATGAATTGATTTAATTGACTTTTCCAAATTTCAACTCAACTTCACGCACTCGCATTGGTGATCACATGCGCATGGTTGACCACTTACAGACCTCCCCTCCACCCTCGCTCCGCTACACGACATTGCAGATGTATCTGGACTGTCTCACAATGTTCCTAGACCATTACCAGGTGCAAATACATGTTCAATGTTGTGTAATGGCACAAGGCTAACGGGCGGCCTCACAGAAGTCTCATCCGAGTCTTTTTTCTTATTGAACATAGCCAAAAACTAGACCAGAAACATTGACAAATTACGTCCACCTGGATTGCCAAACAGTCCAGTCCAAGATACATTAAACGGCGACGAGCAAACTGCTTAGATCCCAATAACAAGTCCTACAGTCTTGCCCCGAATAAAACGTACAGTCCTTATCGGTGTACGTTTTTGCAGTTTTGAAAAGCGACATTCGTCACAAACAGTTTACGAAAACAAGCCTCCAGCAAGGGCTGTAAATGAACAGGAGAATTGACTTATGACGGAACAATGCTCGAGGGAAGACGGTGGTATACTCTTGGACCACTGCCCCACGAGCGTGACCTGAGATGGAAACCAGCCACTAACACCCCCTCCCCCCTCCCCCCTCCCCCCCCCAGTCCCTGTTATAGCATGCATATCTGCGCTAATGACCCGGTGCAAGGCCTGCAATCCCAGTACATCAGCATTCTAGGGGTTCCCTCCCTGAGTCCATTGGTAGAGATCCAGTATATTACAGTCTAGTACGGTGTATAGAAGCAGTCCAGACCCGTGCACCATGTCCAGAACGGCGCACTCTGTTCGGTCCCACGTAATATATAGACCACAGCCACCTTACTACGCTCCACCTCTTCCTATAAGAACTGCTACTCGTGCTTCTATTCCACCTCCTGCTTCACAAGTGTCAGCTGAGACAGAAACCAACTATTACCACCACCCTCTTCAAACCAACTACTAGTCCAGTCCAAGCTGTTCAACATACTGACTGCAACCACCTAACTACGCTCCACCTCCTCCCCCTCTAACAACTGCTACTCCCGCTTCTACTCCTAAGAACCAACCACTAACCCCTTTCTCTTACTACGACGACTCCTGCTTCTGCTCCTACTCCTGCTATTCGGTCGTAATCTCAGATGGAAGGCCAGGTTGTTGTAGAGGCTGGATTATAGACTTATGAGAGTCACCTTCGGCAATCCGCCATGTGGTACAGGCCCCCTAATCCTATCGTTTGCCTTAATCACGTTGGGACTCTTTCTCAGCCACCTCAACATGCTCCTCCTCTTCCTCCTACTCTTCCTCCTCCTCCTCTTCCTCCTCCTCCTCTTCCTCCTCCCCCACCACCAACACCACCACCATCACCACCACCTCCTCCTACCCTTCCTCCTCTTCCTCCTCCACATCCTCTTCCTCCTCCTCCTCCCCACCACCAACACCACCACCTCCTCCTCCTGCTGCTGCCGCTGCTGCCTTACTGGGCTGCTCCTCCTCCTCCTCCTCCTCCTCCTCCTCTTCCTCCTCCTGCTGCTGCTGCCCAAGCCTGGCACTACCTAAAAAGGGGGACCCAGTTGCAATGCGTATAATGCAGCAATGAAAGAGCAAATCCCGAGTGCCTTCGGGACAATGCAGGTACGGGTGACATTTATCAGCCTCCTAAGAACATTTAGATGTAAGCCGTCACACTGCGCAGACCAAGAAAACTTGACACCCATAACAGATTCCCCTCACTTGGTCGACAGAATGTAGTAATTCACCCTCCAACTTCAGTTGACCAAAACAGGAAAGAGTACATTCAAAATTTGATAGTGATGAGATGGGGCAAGCAGGATTGCTGATTCCTTTCTCCTTTCCCTCCCACCCCACCCTCTTTTCTTGCTGGGAAGCAGGCCCAGCATCGCTAAGCCCTCGGTTCTGCAGAAACTACTTTTTATTTTATTAAATACACTGTAAATGGAGCTAGCCCCTAACATTATTGTACCCATCTGTGACTCATTCCGCAAGGATTTGAATTCGCGATCTGCGCATCAACGAGTACATGTGTGTACCATTCAGCCGGACGGGCTGGCCCCTAACATTATTGTATCTGTCTGTGGACTCATTCCACCAGGGTTCGAACTCATGATCTGTTCATCAACAATTTTACATCTGTGCAGCATTTTCAGGCACATTGGGCTGGAATCATAATTCGCATGTCCGGGGCCCAAATCCCCTGACATTACTGTCATTATTGTACTCTGTCTGTGACTCATTCCACCAGGATTCGAACTCATGATCTGTTTATCTGTCTGTGACTCGTTCCACCAGGATTCGAACTCGTGATCTGTTTTCATCAAACATTACATGTGCACGCCATTCAGCCACATGGGCTGGGTAGGGTGTGCTGACACTATAGATAGCACCAAACAGTAGGATGCTTGCAAGGACGACACGCACGCGAATCGAGAAGAAAATAAGGTCCACATTTTTAAGATAAAAAAAAAAGCGAAACAAAATCATAACCGTGCTGATCCACTGCCTCAAAACTGTCAATGATCTCAAWAAAAATTAAAAAGTAAAACTTCAAAAAAAAAAAAAAAAAAAAAMAGGGAAMAAAAAWAAATAGWCAATGGCTGGCACATCAACCTTCCAATCATCAGGGGCTCACGACGATTACATCATACAGAGAAACCAGCGACCAGGGTGGCTGGCTGAAAAAGTCAATTATATGAATTTATATCACTAAGGAAAACAGAGGGGAACCCAGTGAAGAAAACAACCAGCTTGCAATCCTATGTTCTTCTTAGGTCCTAACTTTAATTCAGTGTGAGGATTCGAGGTCCCGACCTGTTTCATCCATAGTCACATGTGTACCATCCAGCAACAGGCTGGTACAGCTTGTGGTCCCACATTATTAATGCTGTTATTATTAATTTATTATCTTTATCAATTTATCACATTATTTTATTATATATTATTATTATTATTACTTTATTATATTATCATCATCATCCTATTACATTCTATTATTTATTTTTTATTATTATTTTATTATATTATATTATATTATATTATATTATATTATATTAGTTATATTAGTTATATTATTTATATAATTAATAATTATATTCTTATTATTAATTATTACTGCTACTACCTGTCAACATAAGGTACTATATTATATTCTTTGAATTTCTTTCTCTAATTCCGAGTAATTTAATGTTTCATTTGTTCATCGTTTATTTTTTATACATTATTTTCATTTTACTTGTTCCTAATATTATCATTATTCAATTGACCCTACGCAGACCAACTTTTCAGACTATCATTACAACGGCTGCTTCTATTGCTGTCAGATAATTGTTGTTTTCATCATTATATATTGTCATAGAGAACTGCCCCGTGAACCGGGGGGAGGGGAAAGAAAGAAAAAAGGAAAAACAAACGAGGGGCTGTGACAGACTGTCTCCTCGAAGTTCCACCAACTCATCAGGAGCCTGTATAACTATGTAATATACTTCATATAATTTTGCAAAATATAACCCCAGAAATTCAGGTATATGCTAAAATACCCCTAAAAGAAGTGAAAAGAGTGGAACACCCCTCTGAAATTTCAAAAGATTGTGAAATGCCCTTTTGGTTTTGAATCTTTGCAGTATGTCCCCATTAGGGCGTTGCCAAGTTTGTGCTATATACCCCTGCTGTCAGGGGCACAACGCAAACTTGCGCAACCCCCTGACAAGCGCAATTCACGAAACTTCTGAAATTTCAGCGGGCTATTAACCCTCTACCCACATCTTTTAGGGGTATTTTAGCAGATACATTTGACTTCCAGGGTTATCTTGCAAATTTTCCCTCGTTATTCTATTTGATATTTGAAATTTGGAATTGGCCCTACGCCACCCAGAACAACCTTCGACATCCTCAAACGTTCCAAACCCAAAGAAAAGACAAGGGGAGAGCACAGAACCAGCGTGCTTACGGCCTTTCCTTTTCTTCCTTTTTTTTTTCCTGAAGAAACAGGTAGAGCAGAGCTTTCATCAATCAGAGCAGGGCCAGAGCCCACCCCACGTACGTCAATAAAAACAACAGAAAACCCCACACGTCTGAGTTGTGCTGGTTCTTCCCTCCACCCAAAAACAAAGAAGAGGTGGGCAAAGGAGATAACAGAACAGCACTCTTTATCCTTTTTTTCTTCTCTTTTTTTCCACTTCAGGAAAATGTATTGAAAACAGCCCTTTTTTTCTTCTCTTTTCTTCCACTTCAGGAAAATGTTTTCAAACAGTGCTCTTTATCCACTTCCCTAAGTAAGACACAGTTTCCTTATCCATTTTCCTGAGTAAGACCTACTCTTCAAAATATAGCCACTTGAAAAAATAAAAAAATAAAAAAACAGCCAAGCAGAATCCATAATTTCACAGAGAAAAGTGTCAAAAAGCAAAAAGAGAAAAAGCGTTTTCTTCGATATCAAGTTATCAACATATAATTCAGCAGTCCTTCGGGACATCCGTTAAAATTGGAACGATACAGAGAAAGAAGATTAGCATGGCCCCTGCACAAGGATGACACGCATAAAAATATAGAAAAAAAAAAGAACGAAGAAAAAAAACAACATATAATTCAGCATATGATTGGGCATGGCTCCACTTACGCCAGAAGAAACTGCTTTTCAACCGTGTCCTTATGAGCTAGGGGGCAAAAATATCCCCCTGGGTGAGGGTCCCACTCGCACGGCTACTGTCCGTAGATTATAACGAGTATTAAAGACCACCAGCCAATATCCCACCAGTCCATCTGAACCTAAATTGACGAAGCAAAAGTTGCCTTTTCCTCCGCCTGCCTGCTACAGTAAAGGAGAGAAACAAAAATATCGGGGTACCAGTACTGGTCTCTATCTTCTGGACCTCAGGTTCAAAACAAACCTAGGCCATCAACTTTCAGTATTGCACTATTGTTTTCGCATTTTTTTCTTTTCCTTTTTTTTTTTTTTAAATCCCTTTTCTATTATCCATGTTTTCACATGGGCACCTGGAACACAACACACCCTCGTTATCACTGTACCAGAAAGATAGCTTGCATGCATTCACTATCAGGGCGCATCGTCTTCCCCCAAACACAACGCACCCTGATAACGCAAGCTATCTTTCCAGTGCAG